TATGATCAAGATTTTCTTGTAACAACCTATTCCTTTCTGTTAAAGCTTGATATTTTATGGTTAACAATTTTATTTTTTCTTCTAGAGCTAATTGAAGTTCACTAGCAGAGTTTTTGCCCTTGTGACTTAACTCTGAGATTTTAATTTATTCTTTTAATTTATTTTGAAGAAAGTGATTGTGTTTCTCAAGATTGTCATTGACTTCTCTTAAAGATGCATAGTTTTCCATCATTTGTTCTCTTTCAGAATTGAAAGACTGATATGCATCTATAAGAGTACTCAATAAGGACTCTAGTTCCTTTTTAGAATATGATTCAATATTTACTTTGATGTGATGAAAACTTACCTTGCTTTTACTGTCATCTTCTTCATCATCTTCAAAATCTGTTTCAGCAATGAGTGCAAGAAAATCATATTTATTTGATTGTTCTATTGCAAGTAGTGACTGATTTTCGAACCCTCCATCCTCAAATTCTTCTTTAGATAAGTCCTTTTAGCGGCAAAGGCTCTTCTCGTTGAAAGATACGCTTCTTGATTGGTCATTCTTCTGTTTGTGGGAATGTACTTATCATTCTTGATGTCTTTGCCCTTCTCAAAGTTTGCCTTTTTCTGCGCTAAAGCCCAAAGTGGACAGAATTTGATGAAGTGATCTAGGCTCCCACACTTATGACAAACCTGGTCTTTAGTGTTTTCAGATGGTTTTTGAGAAGTTTTCTTTTGAAAGGCCTGCCCTCTCTTTAGCATTCTGGTGAACATTTTGGTTATGAGAGCAGTATTTTCATCTTCAAAATCATCTGATGTAGTAGCCTTTAGAACCAAGTTCCTTTCCTTCCTTTTTCCTCCAATTTCCTTTTCTTGGTTTTTCTTGAGTTCGTATGTGATGAGATTACCAATCAACTCATCCATGGAGTTATTTGTCAAAGCCAAAAGTAATATATTAAAGGAACAAGTTGATACAAATAAGGAAAACCTTAAACATATTATTAAGGAAGGAAGTTGTATATAATAAGGATTGTACTTTAAAAAGGAATCCTTGTTTAACAATAACTTCCTTACCTTATCTGATAAGGAGTGTACAAGGCAAAAGAAACTCTATAAGAAGAGCACGATGCAGATGAAGAATAGGACGACTTCACATAGAGAGAAAAGGGAGAATTATTCATCAAATTGAAGTCTTCAAGATTGATAGATTTGCTACGTTTAAAACGTTCTTGAGTGAAAAGGTTTTTAACGTGTAGAACTGTTTTCTTGTTTTATTCTTGATTGTAATTTACAGTTTATGGTACAAAGGGTGGGTTTGACTCTTTGTAGGGTTGAGTGTTAGTAAGAGTTGTAACAAAAGGTGAGTTTGGCCTTTTGGAGAGATCGATTGGAGTCAATCGAGGGAGTAGTAGAGATAATACTTTTGATTATTGAGTTGTAATCACAAAATCTTATAGTTGAATTAATAAAACGAGGTTTTTCCTTCCTTGAGTGAGGAAGGTTTTTAATTCAATAAGTGTTTGTGTCTTTACTTAAAAGCAACTTACAAGAACCTGGTTCTTGGTCAGGGTTAAGGTTTCTTCAATTGGTATCAGAGCAGGTCTTTTCGATAAAAGATTCACACCTTGAAAAGACTCAATGGCAACACCATCTACCCCACAAGAGGGAGCTTCACAAACACGACCCCCACTGTTCAATGGAAAATATTATGGATGGTAGAAAAATCGTATGATGGACCATCTTATTGGCGAAAACCCTTATCTATGGGGAGTAATTCTAGATGGCCCAACCATACCTATGAAATCACCAAAATCTCAAAGGAAAGAAAATAATAGAATGATGAAGACAAGCTTGCAATCCAAAACAATGCCAAAGCCAAGAAAATTTTGATCTGTGGCATAGGACAAGACGAATACAATCGAATCTCGTATTGTCAAGATGCCAAAACCATATGGGAAACACTACAAACCGCTCACGAAGGAACAACACAAGTCAAGAAGTCCAAAATTGATAACTTGAACAGGCAATATGAGCTGTTCAGGATGGCAGAAGGGGAGACTATTCAAGACATGCACACAAGGTTCACCTCCATCATCAATGAGATGTACTCCTTGTTATTGACTTCTCTTAAAGATGCATAGTTTTCCATCATTTGTTCTCTTTCAGAATTGAAAGACTGATATGCATCTATAAGAGTACTCAATAAGGACTCTAGTTCCTTTTTAGAATATGATTCAATATTTACTTTGATGTGATGAAAACTTACCTTGCTTTTACTATCATCTTCTTCATCATCTTCAGAATCTGTTTCAGCAATGAGTGCAAGAAAATCATATTTATTTGATTGTTCTATTGCAAATAGTGACTGATTTTCGAACCGTCCATCCTTAAATTCTTCTTTAGATAAGTCCGTTTAGCGGCAAAGGCTCTTCTCATTGAAAGATACGCTTCTTGATTGGTCATTCTTCTGTTTGTGGGAATGTACTTATCATTCTTGATGTCTTTGCCCTTCTCAAAGTTTGCCTTTTTCTGCGCTAAAGCCCAAAGTGGACAGAATTTGATGAAGTGATCTAGGCTCCCACACTTATGACAAACCTGGTCTTTAGTGTTTTCAGATGGTTTTTGAGAAGTTTTCTTTTGAAAGGCCTGCCCTCTCTTTAGCATTCTGGTGAACCTTTTGGTTATGAGAGCAGTATTTTCATCTTCAAAATCATCTAATGTAGTAGCCTTTAGAACCAAGTTCCTTTCCTTCCTTTTTCCTCCAATTTCCTTTTCTTGGTTTTTCTTGAGTTCGTATGTGATGAGATTTCGCTACAACAGAAAGGACGGGGGTCTCGCTGTTGTATACAATATTGTTGTATTGGGGCCTTAATTATCTGTCAATTCTGTATGTTGGGCCCAAGACTGTTAGGGCGTAGCTTAGCACTATATATAGACGCTATGGCAAACCCTATTATGTATTCTGTTTTTGCCTCTCCATAATAAAACTGCTTCCTCTCTTCCCCGTGGACGTAGCCAATTTATTGGTGAACCACGTAAATCTGTTGTCTTATTTTTAGCATTTATATTTTCTCGTATTATCTCGAATTCCACACAACAACAACAATAAAAATAATAAAAAAGAAGTAACATAAACAGAGAATCCAAAACTGAAAATTTCAGCCCCAATCAAACTATTTAAGGGGGCTGAAATTGTTGTCTTTTGCCGCTGAGATCTTAGGCCTTCGACCCAAAATGCTTTCTGTTCCTGTTGTGATATTCTCAGACTTTTAAAGTCGAAAAGAAAGTCATTTTAACACTTTGAAACTGCTGCAATTCTGCCTAATTTCAGCTGTTCAAATTTCGGCCAATTTGAACGCAAAACACTTTCATTTTCAGCTATTTTGACTTGTTGTTGCTGCTTGTTTTTGTGGTTTCTCTTTCACTACTTAAAGAGGGTTAAATTAGAGAGGAAAATGCAGGAGATGGGGAGTCCAAATGGACTCAAACGAGAGAATTTATGAAAAAGAAAAATTAAATTGCTAAATGACCAACTTAAACTAGACACATATTTATAACTCTGGAAATTATAAAATAAGAGTAGTGCTAACAGTGGTCACAAGAGATACAGACAAAATGAATGAAAGAAGCAACGGTAAAATTCAAAAGGAGAAAAGCTTAACAACAAAAAAAACACAAATTTGAACAAATCCGTTATAAGGACGAACCATATCCTTACAGAATCTAAGTTAAATCCCAATGAACATGTCATTATCTCAAAATTTCATTCAATAACAGAAACCATATTAACACTAAAATAAATGAAAGAAAAGGGAGCATAGCATGAAAATCACATAAGATAAATTGACATGTATTAACATAAATATGCTAAGGGTAGTGGAAATAACAGATCATAGAAATAGTCTTCAAAGAATTCAAGGCTAACATGCTTAGTTTCTTTAAACTGACACGAGCATTATATATATATATAAAAAAGCAAAGAACGAACACTACCATTTCTGAAAAATGACCAAACCAATAATCAACCAGGATTAGTAAAGCATCGACTGACACATGAGCTCTCAAATAGAACATCTAAACTAATCATTAGCTAATAGTAAGAAATCTGAAACCAAGGCAATTTACACAATTTAGAATCTATAGCTCAAAGAAGATACATGAGGATCTAAGGGATTTAGGAGCAACCAAAGAGAAGTCGAATTAGAATTCAACTTCATCTAGAGCTCGACTAAACCTAAGATCAACTCATGATTTCTGACCAAATAAAATCCTTCACATAAGAAGCAAGCAAGATAGCCACATTGTGAAAAAGGGACTGGATGTGAAAAAAAAAGCAGGGGTTTACTTTAGGGAGCACGTCTTAAAGTAGAATTAAGATTGAGTGCACTCAAAATGAATCTACATACGACATATTGTTGTTCAATCCCCTTGGACTACAAACAAACCGAATAGAGTATCAACGATGTCATAATAAACTAAAGAAACAAGTTCATAATATAAACAACATGAAACAAAACTATCTTGAATGATAAATCTGAGACCTCAGATTTTATAACCTTATAAATAAAGTCTTATTTCACAGAGACCAAAATGATAGAAAGTAAACCAAGTATTAACATTTTTATCCGCTTCATGGAGCAAGAGATAGATTCTTAAGGAAATAATAGAGGAGTAACTATTCATTCAAATTAGCAATGCTAAGACCCCCTTTTGTTAGATTGTTTTGAATCACCAGATGCGATACAAAATCAACAAAGCAAAATGTTCTATTAAATTAAAACAGGATTTCTCATCTTTACTAAAAGAACACTGCTAACTTTCTCGAGAAGCTAGGATTGGAAACTCAAACAACGCACGAGGAATAAAAAAACACTGGTAGATACTTGTAAAATAACCAATACTAAGACATTCAACAGAAAAGGACTCATCAACATAGAGAAATTAGGAAACATAATCAGCCTTAATTCGGCTCCAACACATAAAATTAAACAACATAGAAAAGGAAAATAAAGAATTACCTGGTTCTGGACAGCGAATGGAACGACGAGTTGAAAAGATGACTCCTCTTCTTCAACTCGAAAAGACACAAAACATTTTAAAATTTTAAACTATGGAACCATGAATTTCCAAAACATTATGGGTACTCTTTGGTCTCCGAAAATGGTGTCCTCTGAAATAGTGAATGAAGAGGATTTATATAGAAAGGATTCTAGGTCAAAATTGAGGGGAAAATGATGTGGGAAAAGCTAAGATTTCAAATTTTCTTAAAGAATAAGGTGTAAAAAAACAGCTCGAATAATACAAAATTCATCACCTGTGACAAATTGGAACGACTAAGAAAACTAGAGTTGTTCGATCTAGAAGCCAGGACAAGTGAATCGTTGATCTCGTTCCACCTAGCAATGGAGCTTTGTATGAATTGTCGATGGAGCAGGGAAGATGACAAGAAAATAGTACTGGATACCTGTACGCGTCTCTCGCATGAAGAAAAACGCGTATAGGAGGGTGTTTTGGTATTATTGCGTTTCTCAATCAATCATGAAAATGATGAACAGGGTTGGTCGAGTCGTCTGAGTGTTTCTGTATGCGTGTGTATTGGAATTGTGGGCTGGGTTTTCTGTTGTGAACAACTAAAAGTGGGTCGGGTACGGGTGTTTAAAATAATGGGCTGAAGGAATTAGAAAAGGGAAAATTACATGGGATGGGAAACATCCCTATGTAATTAGTTAATAAGGGTATAGTTAAATTTATTTACGGTCAGTAAATACAGTTTCAATTTTTTTGTCATAATTAATGGAAACCACTATCTATTTGTACATAGAATAAAAATAGTCATCCAAAGATTTTTATATAATTTTATTCAAAATCAAATTTATCTCTCTTATTCTCATTTCATATCTTTTCCTAAAATTACTCTTCCCTTCTAATTTGAATTTCCATTGAGAAAGTTTTAACCTTCTCCCTCCGATATTCTTCCACTTTTCGTAGGTAACCGCCAAATTTATGGTTTTCAATATTTTTTTCTTAATATATACAAAGTATTATGAAACAGATCTTAATTGTATATTCTATTAGTTGTATACCAATTACTAAAGTTAGGTATATAGTGGGTTTCATATTTAGGTAACATATACAAAGTCTTATGAGGAAATAGCTATTTGTATACAATTATTTAATTTTGTATAAATAAATTTGTTAAAATCACTCCATAATATTATAATACATTATACAAATTCGTCGATAAATACAAAAAATTATGAACATAATAAAATATTGTATATATAAACGTTACACCCTCAAATATAGAAACATATTTCAAGCTTACTATATATACAATTAACAAATGAATATTATATACAATTAGTTTAATCATTAATATTTTTTTTAAAAAAAAACAAAAACATGAAATCACAGATGCAGATTTATAACTATAATATATATATATATCAAAATTATTGTACATTATACAAATTCCTAGAATTATACAAAAGAAAAAATAGGAACATTATAAAGTATTGTATACAAACAGATTACCCAAAAAAATTAAAAGAATATATGATGTCATATACGGTTTAAAACATAAAATCAATTACACACAAATATTGTAAAAAAATTATATACAATTTCGCAAATATATACAATATAATCAATTTATATATAAATATATTTGTGTGTGTGTGTTTCATAGATTTATCTTAAAAAATTAGAAAAATATTTGATTTTGAACCGGTATTGTCTTTCTATAGCTTTAGAATTCTTTTTTTTGGAGAAATATTTGATTTTGAATGTTTTGCTTAAATCATGGGATTATGTGAATTTATTGTTAGCATCTTTTGTGCTACTGTTACCATTTATCGAAAAATATATTTTTTTGTATAAATTTAATTAAAAAATGAATTATACAAATTTAGAGTCACCTAACAAACTAAACTATACCCATGAAATGTAATTATGTAAACTACCCATGGAATGTAATTTCATAACATCGGATTGCCATATATGAAATTTTCCCATTAGAAAATGGAGAATTTTTTGAGGTGTTGGGCTGGTTGGAAAATGTAAGAAGGAATGTAGATTGAGTGAATTAAAAAGTTGGGCCAAGATTTTTGGAATGGGTCCACTGAATTGTGAAGAATTTGCCAAATTGAGTTTAATTTGTAAATCGGCTAAAATCTAAATAAGATGGATTTAGATAAGATTATTTAACAAACTTCTTAAATTTAACAGATTGAAATAATTAACTTAATCAAACTATTCATTCAAAAATATTAACTATAATTTAAACTAAACTAATAAACAAAATATTTATTTAATAGCAAAATCTTTTTGAGATGATTTTTGAAATATTTACACAATGTGATAATTATATATAAAATATATATATTACTTAAAAAGTTATAAAAATGTTTTAAAATATTTAAAATATCTTCAAAATATTTTAAATTTTATAAAATTACTTTTTTCAAGTCATTTAGAATATAAGAAATTTTAAATTTAATTCCAATCATGAAGGGTCAAAGTTGAGTGTCAACAACTGACCCTCGTTTGCTTAGGATGGATGAAAGAGATCCGAGGCAAACGAAATTGACAAATCCAATTTTGTCCGACCACTAATTCATATTTTCTAAAAGGAAATGGTTAAGAATTTGAGGAAATATGACCGAGCTCTAGTATTGAATTTCCTACTTATCTGAGGTTAAATGAGAATTCCGGCCACTAGTAGTTTGAAAACGCTTGATTTACGCAAAATTATGAAGGAACGCAAAACCTATTTCGATGTCGAAGTATGGAGAGACCGAAATGCTCGAGAATGGAGTGATGATAAAATTATTGCAAAACAGTCGAGTTTTCAACATTGAGCCTGCCTACATATCCTAAACTTGGGAATATGCTTGTAGTTCGACTCAATCAATTGAAAAGGAAATCTCTTATGCAAATTTATCCTTTAGATTAAGGTTGAGTGACAAAATAATTAAGCGTAGAAAAGAGTATTGCAACCATCTCAACTGTGAATGCGGGGCCCTTCGCACCCATAGATAAGAACATACATGGACATAACTTCTGAAGCTCTCTAGGTGTATCGTCACCAAAATTTGGAAATTTTCCTAATGAGAGTTAAAATTTTCACTGAAGGCGAAGCTAAAACTATTAAACTCGAGAAAAACCCACATGCCTTAGGATACGGATGTGGTTCAATTCTGGTGGAAGTCGCTCCTCAACTCGCATCCTAGGAGTTTGATATTCCTCTTTGGACTAGTCCCAGTTCGCTGCTAAGAAAAAGTTCGACGTTGTGTTGCGTCCATTTGACGTAGTCCGCTTTGTGTATTGGGAAGTCTGGAAAAAAAGTTGTCAATGGAAAATGTAACACACATACAAATATAATTTGTGCAAACCTGGTATAACATGTCATACTGAAGGAGATGACGATCCAATTTCAAGTGTAATTCTCTTAAAGGAAGTGGTGATCCAAAATGGTGTGTCAATTTGAACGATGTGATGATTCAATAATAATAAATATCGTGTCACTTTTAGGGAGATGCCGCTCTAATAACAATTTAATATATTATGTTGAAGGAACTGACGCTCCGATCCTAATTTTAACATGTCACGTTGAAGGAAGTGACGCTCCAATAACAAATTAACATGTCACGTTGAAGGAAGTGATGCTCCAATAATAATTTAATATGTCACGTTGAAGGAAGTGAATCTCCAATAATAATTTAACGTGTCACATTGAAGGAAGAGACTCTCCACTAATAATTTAACGTGTCACGTTGAAGGAAGTGACGCTCCAATAATAATTTTAATGTGTCACGTTGAAGGAAGTGACACTGCAATAATAAATTTAGCGTGCCACGTTGAAGGAAGTGACGCTCCAATAATAAATTAATGTGTCCCGTTGAAGGAAGTGACGCTCCAATAACAATTAAATGTGTCACTTTGAAGGAGTGACGCTCCAATAATATAATGTGTCACATTGAAGGAAGTGACTCTCCACTAATAATTTTAACATGTCATGTTGAAGGAAATGACGCTCCAATAATATAATATGTCACGTTGAAGGAAGTGACTCTCCAATAATAATTTTAATGTGTCACGTTGAAGGAAGTGACGCTCCAATAACATAAAATAAAGTTGTAACAGACTAATCTGATTATCTTCTTTTGTTTGTGAAGCTGGTAATATCTCCAATTGTTATTGATATTTTGTCATCCTTGTGCTCATAGAAAAAAATTATTAGATAAGAACATAGAAATTAATATGTCAAGACTTTTGAATGACTCACGACGATCTGGTAGCTTCAGAGAACGCGAGATTCTAGAAGAATGATCTAAAATCTATAACGTTGAAAGGAGGCGCTAATGAACCATTAGGGATTTTACATGAGATATATCCCTACTTTAAATTTGGAATCTCTTATAAAGAGAAGACTGGTTTGACAAGGAAACTTTTGAAGCTTGAAGTTGAACAGAAGATTTTGAGAACTTTGAACCATTTCAAAAAGTTGCCCCTGTTTCCAGTCAAAGGGTACTCAATTGAAATAATTGGTAAGAAACAAGAATGACTGATTCAAAAACATGCCATGTTTCCTCTGAGGTCTGTAGTTTGAAATGTAGAAAGACTGAATCCTTATATAGGATTGCCTACGTATCTTGCTGGAATAAAAAATCAGGTTTGGCGTAGTTCAAACCTGAAACTTAACTGAATTTAAAGAGAACAAAATCTTTGTCAGAGAAAATACAAAGGATTAGAAATAATGGAGGGAAAAACCCTTAAACATAAAAATATAGGAGAAGAGGGTTTGATGAATTGGATCCTCGGTGTCGAGAGTTCTTCATAATAACATCTTTGTATGAGGACTAGTGTGTGTCCTTTGTCTGGTGAATGTATGGGTTGATCTTTGAAAAATTGAAAATATCTCTTGATATTTCGAATCCAATTCAGACGACACCTGCAAAGTTCAGATGTAACTAGTAACAAAATAAAATTAACAAAGTAAAAGATAAGTTTTCAAATGAAGTCGTTCAGCTTATGTTGGTCTGGATAACGTCTTATGGTCTTCGCCATTGTGCAAAGATATCTCATCTGTAGAATTGAGAATGTGTAAGTCATGATAAATTGAAAGAAAAATTTTAAAAGATAAGAGAGAGTAGAATTCATCTGAATTATGATGACAACATTATGAGCCCATTGATTTCATATAATTTGTAGTTCCTGCATCCAAAGAAAAATTCTTAGTTTTGAGAGACTAATTCACTTTATGGTAAATTTTGAGATCCACAAAATTTTTCCTCAGTTTCATTATAAAGAGAAATTAAAAACTTACAGGGAACATGACCGAGCCGGTGTGGCGCTTACGTATCTTATTGACCAGGAATCATGTCAAATGTAGTTCCAACTCAATAGGATTAACAAGAATAATATAATTTCACTTAGAAAATGACCGAGGCCGACATTGGCTTCCTATGTATCTTATTCTTCAGAATTCAGGTCAAAAGTAGTTCAAGTACAAGGAAACATTAAAGGGGATAAAAGGATGTTCGAAGCTGACATAGGCAATCTACGTATCTCATTCTTGAGAATTCAGGTCAGACGTAGTTCATTACAAGTGAAAGCTGTTTAAAAGGGAAATCAAAACCAAACAAATGATTACAAAGTAACAAAGCGATAAAAGTGTGATTACATAGAAATAAATCAGCAAACTCCAAATGCAAGACTAAAAGCTTCCAAAAGTGCGACTTTGAGGAAATTTGCTTCTTCTTTGCAACTACTCTTTATGCTTGGGTAGAGGGTTGGTGTTCACATTCGGTGGAGCTTGAGCGAGTTTTACCACCTCATTGTCATTCAGATCTTGAATTTTGTGTTTGAGAATGATACACCTCTCGGTATCATGTCCAACAACTCCTGAATGATAAGCACAATGCCTACTTGGGTCATACCAGTCGGCTGAAGTATTGACAGTCTTTGCTTCCACTGGATGAAGTATTCTTGCCTTTTTTAGCCTCTCAAAAAGTTGAGTCCGTGTCTCACACAATTGAGTGAAGACTCTGGGAGGCTTTTTCTCAAAATTAGGACGAGGTGCATTATTTCGAGGATTTTATATTGGTCGTGGAGAACGAAATGTCGCTTGATTATTGAAAACATAGTATTGTGAATTAGGATAGCCTGGAGGTGGTTGACGGTTACATGAGGTAGCTCCTCGAGTCGTCAACATTATAATTCTCTCTTTTTTATTTCCAAAGGAACCAGTTGGATAGGCTCTATTAGAAAACTTAGATGAGGTGTAACTCATTATTCAACCACTTTTGAGACCGTCTTCAATCATTTCTCCAACTTTGATAACTTCAGCAAATGTCTTTCCACCCATTGTCACCATTATCTCATAGTATTCTGAATCTTGAGCTTGAATAAAGTAGGTGATTATTTCCGATTCCTCGATAGGTGGATGCACCCTAGCAGCTTCTTCTCTCCAACAATTGGCCTATTCTCGAAAGCATTCAGCCGACTTTTGTTTTAGCTTGGTAATAGAGATCCTATCAGGAGCGATTTCAACATGAAACTTGTAGTGATCAACAAAAGCATTTTCTAGATCATCCTAAGTACGCCATTTGGTCTTATCTTGCTTAGAGTACCACTCCAACCCTTTTCCAGTCAGACTTTGATCGAATAGCTTGATTCTTATCCCTTCGTTGTTCCCAACGCTAATCAACTTTTCATCATAAATTTTCAAGTGAAAGAACAGATTTCCTGATCCACTAAACTTCTCAAACATAGGTATCTTGTAACCAGGTGGCAACTCAACTTCAGGAAATGTGCACAATTCTTCGTATCTAACACTCTGGCTACTATCGAACCCACGAAGACCTCTTATAGCATCTTCCAAGCTTTTCATCTTATTGTTCATCATTTCAGCATCAATTGATTTTCCATCACCCTCAATTTTAACGTAGTGATTAACATTTGGGTAGTGAAACTCTAGAATCTTGGTAACAGGTGGAGCAGTGACATAAGTGTACACTGGCAGAGTGTGATATGTTACCGTTGGAGCTATTGGAGGAGCAAATTGTTAAAGAAGAGGAGTATCTTGAGTTAAATTAGTGAGTGAGGCACTTTGAGTCTGTTGAAAGGTGGTAAAATGATCTTCTTGTTGAAACTCACTCGAAGTCGGATACACAGGTGGCATGGGCCCCTTTTGGCGAGCATCGGGTAGTTGATTTGGATAAGAAGCTTGGTATTGAGCTACCAGGAGATTCAGTGTGCTAATTTGTCGCTCTAGACGAGCAATGACTTCCATAGGTGATTTTGTTGCTACGGAGGCACTACGATTGGCCGCGATAGATGAAGTGGAAATCATTTCGGACGAAGCAACTGTGTGAATAGTTGAATCCATTTTTGAACGAGTGCTTTTAGTAGTCCAAGTAAGAAATGAAGAGTCTATAGAGATTTCCTTGACCTTGGACCGTGCAAAATATGAATCTTCTGCCAGCGGTTACTTTGATGACGTGAGCAAGTTTGATTACCAACACAAAACAGTCTCTCCTTCTAAAAACAACTCAAATACAAGAGAGTTAGTCCATTAATCATATAAATCAACCAAAATAATATAAAACGAATAACATTTATTTTGCTTAAAACAGGTTAGTCCAAAATTCGAGGAGGTGGAGACTTCAAAAGTGATCAAATGGATAAAATATGATCATATGTGAACTCAAATTTTGACGAAAGAAAGGTATTTGAACAAAATAAACTACATGATTTGAGTAAAAATTCAAATGTTTATACTTGGAAAATTCAACTAAAAAGCTTTTTTAAGAAACAAAGATATCTTAAAATTGACTAGAAACTGACATAAATTTTAGTAACGGCGCCTAAGTAGGTAAAGAATTATTTTCAATAAAAAATGAAATCAACATGAATTTGTTTGATGACCTAATATTTTTAAAAGCTCTATTAAACCTAGAACATAAGTGATTTTAAATGTATTTTCGTAATGGAGTTAAAGTATTTTGGGAGGTTTGAAAATTGAATTGATTTTTTCTAAGATATTAGAATTGAATAATGGACCAGTTATGTTTAAAGAAAAACATATGTATAAAAACATATAGGTCAAACAAGCATAAATGTAACATTTAACACACTAACAATATACAACGCCTCCTAACATACGTGTGACCTTTTAAGTCAAAGGTAAGCCTAACGTTTGAGGGATATATATATCATTTGTAAATCGTTCCATTGACCCAAAAATATTTATACAAAACTTATGAATAAAATAAATAGGGATACACAATAGAGGAAAGGGAAATAAATATCAGTCCCACGTAGGGGTACAATGGTAAACTAAGCTAAGCTTCGATATGAATCTTCATTCCCGAACTTCTTGAAGCTTTTTAAATTCTTCTTGATGAGGAGAGTCTTCACTTGAATTAAACAAACAAACTACCTATAAAAATAAAGATCCCAACCCCAAAGGACAATGGTACTTACAAATCGACATACATATCCTTCAAATTTAACAAATAATTGAATGATCGTCTTATATTGACCGAGGGTGAATTTGACTCAAGGGGGTCTTATAATGGGTCCAATACACCTTTGGTATTGGATCATCTTAGGTTAATGCGCCTAAAAAGGGTTTTGGTTGAGCTCTAACTTAGTTGACTAAGAGTGGCTTTTGAAGGACCGGGAGCCTAAGCGGACAACTTAGGCTGAAATTCACGATAACTATTGAACACATGACGAACAAATAAATTATCAGTAATTCCAAAAAAAGGTTGAGTATAAAAAGTCTGGTTGCAGTTTCGCAAACCATTCTTTAATATACTGTACATATAATATCAGAAGATACCATGAATGCAATATAATAGTTAATAATCAAAATTTAAACACAATTGCATCAAATAACAATTAATACAATAATAGTTAGCCAAATAATAAAATCCTTTGGGTTAGAACCTAGATGAATCCCTAGCAGAGTTGTCATTCTGTTACGACCCGGTTTCAAAAACTGAAAAGGTTTCAAAGACGATTTCGCAACTTTGGTCAATTTTTTGTTGTGTTTTTGGAAAAAAAAAATTTTAGGAAGTCACCACTTATTGTTTAGGAAAAAAATAAGAAAATCATTTAAAAGGAGATTTTTGAAAGAAAACATTTAAAACCAAAGTCGGGTAAGGGTTCAAATAATTCTTTAAGGAAGGGTTTAGGCGCCTTAGAGAATCCGCTAACACGCGGATGACCGACGGATTTTAAAGTTTGGCTAATATTTAAGAAAAAACTTAAGGTCACTTGTTAAGTAAGGAAGATGTTTAAGGTGTAAAAACCGTCGAAAATATTTTTTGACTTAATAATTTATCCGAGTTATTATTTTGAACCAAATGGCTAGTTCAAATTCATAAAACATGGATTCAAAGCTTTTTAATAAATATGAAAGAACATACATAGTTCTTCAGTTATTCCATAAGCTTAAGTCGCCTAAAAATAAACTGTGTTAACAAATCCAACTCCTTGAAAAGGAATTTGATAAAGGGAAAAACTAAATAATGTTAAACTCATATGAGGATTCATCCAAGCCAATAAAATGTTAGAGAATGTTAGCAATCACAACAATAACAATAATAAAAAGGAAGTAACATAAACAGAGAATCCAAAACTGAAAATTTCAGCCCCAATCAAACTATTTTAGGGGGCTAAAATTGTTGTCTTTTGCCGCTGAGATCTAAGGCCTTCGACCCAAAATGCTTTCTGTTCCTGTTGTGATTTTCTCTGACTTTTAAAGTCGAAAAGAAAGTCGTTTTAACACTTTGAAACTGCTACAATTCTGCCTAATTTCAGCTGTTCAAATTGCGGCCAATTTGAACGGAAAACACTTTCATTTTCAGCTATTTTGAGTTGTGGTTGCTGCTTGTTTTTTTGGCTTCTCTTTCACTACTTAAAGAGGGTTGACTCAGAGAGGAAAATGCAGGAGATGGGGAGTCCAAATGGACTCAAATGAGAGAATTTATGAAAAAGAAAAATTAAATTGCTAAACAACCAACTTAAACTAGACATATATTTATAACTCTGGAAATTATAAAATAAGAGTACTGCTAACAGTGGTCACAAAAGATAGAGACTAAATGAATGAAAGAAGCAACGGTAAAATTCAAAAGAAGAAAAGCGTAACAACAAAAAAACACAAATTTGAATAAATCTGTTTTAAGGACGAACCATATTCTTATGGAATCTAAGTTAAAATGCCAATCAACATGTCATTATCTCAAAATTTCATTCAATAACAGAAACCATATTAACACTAAAATAAATGAAAGAAAAGGGAGCATAGAATGAAAATCACATAAGATCAATTGACATGTATTAACATAAATATGCGAAGGGTAGTGGAAATAACAGATCATAGCAAAGACTTCAAGGAATTCCAGGCTAACATGTTTAGTTTCTTTAAACTGACACGAGTATTATATACAAAAAAAGCAAAGAACGAACTCTACTATTTCTGGAAAAATGAGCAAACCAATAATCAATCAGGATTAGTAACGCATGGCCTGACACATGAGCTCTCAAATAGAACATCTAAACTAATAATTAGCTAATAGTAAGAAATCCAAAACCAAGCCAATGTACACAATTTAGAATTTATATCTCAAAAGAGCGACATGAGGATCTAAAGGATTTAGGAGCAACCAAAGATAAGTCGAATTAGAATTCAACTTCATCTAGAGCTCGATTAAACCTAAGATCAACTCATGATTTCCGACCAAATAAAACCCTTCACATAAGAAGCAAGCAAGATAGCCACATTGTGAAAAGGGGACTGGATGTGGAAAAAAAAGAGAGCAGAGGCTTACTTTAGAGAGCACGTCTGAAAGTAGAATTGAGATTGAGTGCACTCAAAATGAATCTACATACAACATATTGTTGTTCAATCCCCTTGGACTACAAACGAATTGAATAGAATATCAACGATGTCATAATAAGCTAAAGAAACAAGTTCATAATATAAACAACAACTAAACACAGAGAAGTCACATCAACATTTTAATCATTTATGCTTAAGAAATCTGATAAACAACATGAAACAAAACTATCTTGAATAATCTAAGACCTCAGATTTTATAAACTAATAAATAAACTCCTATTTCACAGAGACCAAAATGATAGAAAGTAAACCAAGTATTAACATTTTTATCCGGTTCATGGAGCAAGAGATAGATTCTTAAGGAAATAATAGAGGAGTAACTTTTAATTCGAGTTAGCAATGCTATACCCCTTTTTTTTAGATTGTTTTCAATCACCAGATGCTATACAAAATCAACCAAGCAACTTGTGCTATTAAATCAAAACAAGATTTCTCATCTTTACTAAAAGAAGACTGCTAACTTTCTCGAGAAGCTAGGATTGGAAACTCAAACAACGCACGAGGAATAAAAGGACACTGGTAGATACTTGTAAAATAACCAATACTAAGACATTCAACAGAAAAGGACTCATCAACATAGAGAAATTAGGAAACATAATCAGCCTTAATTTGGCTCCAACACATAATACAGCAACATGGACTAAAATTAAACTAAATAGAAAAGGAAAAGAAAGAATTACCTCGTTCTGGGCAGCGACTGGAACAATGAGTTGAAAAGACGACTCCACTTCTTCAACTCGAAAAGCCACTAAACGTTTTAAAATTTTTAACTATGGAACCAAGAATTCCCAAAACTTTCTGGGTACTCTTTAGTCTCCGAAAATCGTCCTCTAAAACAGTGAATGAAGAGGGTTTATATAGAAAGGATTCTAGGTCGAAATTGAGGGGAAAATGATGTGGCAAAAGTTAAGATTTCAAATTTTCTCAAAGGAAAAGGTATAAAAAACAGCTCGAGTAATACAAAATTCATCACCTGGTGACAAATTTCAACGACTAAGAAAACTAGAGTCGTTCCATTTAGACGTCAGGACAAGTGAATCGTTGATCTCGTTTCCACCTAGCACTGGAGCTTTGTACGAATCGTCGATGGAGCAAAGAAAAAGACACCAAAATAGTACTGGGTACCTGTAAGCGTCTCTCGCATGAAGATGAACGCATATAGGAGGGTGTTTTAGTATTGTTGCATTTCTGAGTAAATCACGAAGAAGATGAACAGGGTCAGGTCATCTGGGTGTTTCTGTATGCGTGTGTATTGGAATAGTGGGCTGGGTTTTCTTTTGTGAACAATTGAAAGTGGGTCGGGTACGGGGTTTAAAAAAAGGGAAAATTTCTTATATGGCAAATAGATGTTATGAAATTATATTTCATGGGTATTTACATAATTACATTCAATGGGTATAGTTTAGTTTGTTAGGTGACTCTAAATTTATATAAAACATTTTTTTTAATTAAATTTATACAAAAAAAATTATTTTTCAATAAATGGTAACAGTAGCACAAAAGATGCTAACAATAAATTTACATAATCCCATGATTTAAGCAAAACATTTAAAATCAAATATTTCCCCCCAAAAAAGAATTCTAAAGCTATAGAAAGACAACGCCAGTTCAAAATTAAATATTTTTCTAATTTTTTTTAGATAAATCTATGAAACACACACACACAAATATATTTATATATAAATTGATTATATTGTATATATTTGCGAAATTGTATATAATTTTTATATAATATTTGTGTGAAATTGATTTTGTGTTTTAAACTGTATATGACCATATGTATTCTTTTATTTTTTTTGGGTAATCTTTTTGTATACAATATTTTATTATGTTCCTATTTTTTCTTTTTGTATAATTCTGGAAATTTGTATAATGTACAATAATCTTGGTATATATATTATAGTTATATATGTGCATCTGTGATTTCATGTTTTTATTTTATTTTTTAAAAAGTATTAATGATTAAACTGATTGTATATTATATTCATTTGTTAATTGTATATATAGTAAGCTTGAAATATGTTTCTATATTTGAGGGTATAACGTTTATATATACAATATTTTATTATGTTCATAATTTTTTGTATATATCGACGAATTTGTATAATGTAAATATTAAAGAGTGATTTACAAATTTCTTTATACAAAATTAAATAATTGTATACAAATAGCTATTGCCTCATAAGACTTTGTATATGTTACCTTAATATACACCCACTATATACCTAACTTTAGTAATTGGTATACAACTAATAGAATATACTGTTACGACCCGATTTCAAAAACTGAAGGGTTTCGAAGCCGATTTCGCAACTTTGGCCAATTTTTGGAAAATGTTTAATTTTAGGAAGTCGCCACTTAATTTTTAGGAAAAATTAAGAAAACCATTTATTTATTTATTTATTTTTAAAAGAAAACATAAAATAAGAGTTTTGGGTAAGGGTTCAAATAATTCTCTAAGGAAGGGCTTAGGCACCTTAGAGAATCCGCTAACACGCGGTTGACCGACGAATTTTAAAGTTGACTAATTTTTAAGATAAAACATAGGAAAGTTTGCGAAAAAATTTTATTTTAAGACAACTAAAATCTTTTGATACTTATACACTCATCTTATTTCAAGCATAAATAACGAATTATAAAACTGAAATTTCCAGCCCTACTTGACCATTTTGGGGGCCGAAATGTCGATTTGTTACTTCGTCGATTTTGGATTTTAACCCCATTTCATGCTTCTTGCTTAGCTGCTGTCGGGATTACTATATAAATTGGACTTGTTAAAGTCCGAGAAATCAACAATTTGTATCCCTTTGGGGACCTGCAGTTGCTGCTTCAGGTTTGGGGGTTTAAACCCATTTTTTGCTTCTCAGTTTCGGCCTTTTTAGGCTGCTGCTGCTGCATTTTTTTTGGGGTTTTAAACCCAATAACGTAACTCCCTTTTTACGACTCCGAAGAAAGTTGACTCAAGAAGAGGAATAATGCAAGAGAAGGGAGTCCGGATGGACTCAAATAAAATAGTTCATGTAAAAGAAAGAAGGAAAATAAAGATTAGCAAGATGATCAAGTTATAAAATAATGACCAACAAGTGATATAATTCAATCCAACAATAGGAATTTTCAGAAAATAAAAGCAACACAGTGATTTACTAAAATCCTGCAACAACATGACTTAATCATATAACTTCAGCAAGAGTTGGTTAACTACATTGGCAAGTTGAACACCTCTGTAATGAATAATAGACAAGAAGATACAATCTTTTATCCGTCAACTTTGATCTAAGCGATTCAACAAAAAAAATAAAAAAATAAACAAGCAATAGTGATAAACAGCCAAAACAAATACAAGACAATGACTAAACAGAAGTTCCCTGACACGTCAACTATCAAGTAAACTACTTAAACCCAACAATTGATCAAACCAAAAGGGAGTTTGAAACAGAGTCATACGTGATTTAAAGATAAACAACTTTAGACTCAATTTGATCAAAGTGTCACTCAATTACAGGCACAAGAAAACTTTTTCAAGCCATTGCTCAGGCAAGCGACGAATTAAATCATCACGAAGTTTTATGAAACAGATGCAAGGGATAAGATATGAGAACTAGGGAGAACAACGAAAAATTTAACAAGGAAAACAGGAGTGAGCGAACAATTTCCAAAATGGTCAGCTTAGGAATTCTAGAAAATTAAAACTCATGAAGCAGTCATTTGAGAGCTTTTTTTTTTTCAAACTTAAGGAAAAAAAAATCTATAGTATGGTTCCAATACTATATCTACAAGAAACTCCCAGATTTGAAGAAAACAAGTTTGAGGCAACAATTACAAAAGGAACTCAAAACTATACCAAAACAAATTAACAACCCAAAACTTGAACAAATATAAACAGTGAAGAAAATGAGCAACAGAGCCACCAGACTAAAGGAAACACTCGAACAATGGAACTTTCAATCAAAACAACTCTTAATAGAGAACCTAAACTAATATATTTGACATTTCTAAAAAAGGGTGCAAACACGAATTTAAATACTTGTTATTTACAAGAACAAATGTAAGAACTAAATCCAAAATACAATAGACTTTAAAACTAATCTTGGATAAGAAAACACAAACAGAACACCGAAGATGCTAGGAAAATTTACAACCAAAATCATAACAACGGGAAAACAGAAAACATTACAGGAAAACTAAAACAAAGCTAATAACACCAAATAAAAAGCATAAAAGAACTGGAAATTAAATAAAACAAGGACAAGAGAAAAAAAAATTACCTGGTTCTGGGCAGCGAACCGGATGACTAGTTTACGGAGACGATTCCACCACCTCACTAAACTCGAACAGTCACAAAGTCACAAAATTTTAAACTAAGGAATCAAGAATTCCCAAAATCTTTTGGGTACTCTTTTCTCCCCGAAAATCCCTTCTTTAAACAGTGAATGAAGAGGGTTTATATAGGGCAACTTCTGGGTTGAAATTGAGGGGGAAACGATGTGGGACAAGCTGAGATTTCAAATTTTCTGGAGGGTAAGGTGTGAACTGCAATTCGTACCAAACTCTAACGGATTGGGGCGGAGAGTCGTCCGATTTCGAGCCAAGGACGAACTTTGAAGGAGATGGAGACATCTGGAAAAATCGAGTACATTACTCGTACGAGAGGAAAAAGAGAGAGCATGCGATTTTGCTGGGTTCGCGTCTGATAAGCATTTTCTGGGTTTTCCACTGTTGTTTGAGCGTTGTATCTGGAAAGTTTGGAGAAGAGAAAAAGGTGTAAAAGGGGAAAAATGGGCCGGATCCGTGAAATTGGGTTGAAGGAGTTGGATTGTATTGGATATTTGTTGGGTTATTGAATTGTGGGCTGATGGGCTTCTGGTAATTGAAACAAATGGATTGGGAATATTGGGTTAGTCCAATTGTATTGGAATGAGTTTGTTGATGGTATTGTATGAGAATTAGAGAGTTTGGGCCGGTTCAGATTTGGGCTGCTGGAAAAGGCCTAATAAAATGGGATAAATGTCCCCAAACTTAAAGTTGTCTACAATTTAGCTAGTTTCGGCCATATAGATTTAAATTAATCAATTAGAAATTAAAAATGTAGCCAAGCTGATCATAGGATAAGCTTGACTAGTGATTAATAAGACGAATGATATAATTAACTTACGAGCTTCTTAATTTTAACAAAATAAAATATTTAGTTTGAACGTAAACTTATGATTCAAAAATTATAAACATAATTTAGCTAAACTAATTTAACAAAATACTTACTAAAATAATGAAAATCTTCATGAGTTGATTTTCGGATAGTTATAAGATATACTAAGCATACATAACATTTAAAATCGTCTAAGATGACTAAACCATTTAAAATAACTTGAGAAAATATTTGAATTTTATAAAGTCAATTATTTTGAATCGCTTGGAATTTAAGAAGCTCGAAAGTTAACTCCTATCGTGGAGGGGTCAAAATTGGGTGTCAACAGCTGCCCCTTGTTTGACTTGGGTTGATGAAAGAAATCCGAGGCAAATGAAATTGACATATCCTATTTTGACCAACCACATTTTCACCTTTCCGAAAAAAAACTTTTAGTACGGACTTTAGAAATTGTGGCCGAGCCCCGGAAGTAAGTTTCCTACATATTTCAGGCTATATGAGAATTCAGGCCACTTGTAGTTCGATACACTTGATTTCAAAGAAATGCAAAGGCTATTTCGTATCGAAGTATAGAGAGACGAAAAAGCTTGAGAACAGAGTGATGACAAAATAGTTTGAGTACAGTCGAGTTTTCGTCATTTATTTTGCCTACATATCCCTAAACTTAGGGAATTAGACTGCTTGTAGTTCGACTCAATCAGTTGAAAAGGAAATCTCTTATGCAGATTTAACTTTATCTTAAGGATGAGTGACTCAATAATTGAGCGCGAAAAAGAGGCTTGCAACCATCTCAACTGTGAATGTGGGGCCCTTCGCACCCATAGGTAAGAATTTACATGGACATAATTTCCGAATCTCTAGGTGTATTGTCACCCGAATTTGAAAAATTGCCTTGGGTGAGAGTTCAAATTTTCACCAAAGGCGAAACTGAAACTAAAAAGACCCAAGAAAATACCCACATGCCTTAGGATAGGGGTGTGGTTTGATTGTGGTGGAAGTCGTTCCTCAACTTACGTCCTAAGAGTTTGATATTCCTCTTTGGACTATACCCTAGTTCACTGCTAAGAAAAGTTCCGCGTTGTGCAGCGTCCCGGCTGACGTGGTCCACGTTGTGTATTGGAAAGTTTGGAACACGTTGTCAGTGAAAAA